CCCCATCAAAAATCAAATGGTCCGTCCCTTATCTCAAAGATCAATACAAACGGAATACATCTAATTCAAATACTCATTAATAATTCATAAGCTTATTGGCAGATCATGTCAACCATAATATGTCACGTGCAGTGGCTTTAAACCTGATAAAACACTCGATCCTAATTAGTATTCTTTATATAAAGAATACTAATAAGGCAGTATCTATTGTAGTCGTGTCCTCATTAGTATTTTTTATATAAAGAATACTAATAAGGCGGTATATCTATTGAATTTGTAGTCGAGTTTGAAGCCGTTTAATAAATCTATAAAATAATAATAATAATAAATAATATCGTGTTTTATTAGGTCTAAAGCAGGGCGTAGTAAAACACGGGCGAGGAAACGCGCGGTAATCGCGCTGATCTATGTGTGATGCGGCTGGAGACCAGTGAACTCTAATAAGACTGGAACGATAACTCGGCCGCCATCTTTGAAGCCAAATTGAAGGCCGCCATTGGAGGTACGGCGGCGAAAATACACCTCTTCGAAAAACTCGGATTTCTGCCTTTCTAGCTATGCTAGAACATAGATGAAAAACTTAAAAACATCTACGATACTTGGACTATTGCACAAATCATGTTTGGAAGCCGTAGAAAAGACTTAACGTTATTTTTTGTGTACCTGAAAGTCGTATTTTGTTCGGCACGGAAAATATTTTGTTATTTTCTTGAATACAAAAATGGTTCCTTTCGAGATTTTGCTGTTAGTGGATGTAGAATACTTAGAACTATCCAGAAAACCAAGTTTGAATCTTTGAAATTGAAATCTTCGGACGAAAAACCTAATTTTTCGGCGTATTTTTGCTAAAAAAACAAAATTACGAGGAAATTGAACTCTCCCCAGTTCTTTTTTGAAAGTCACAGCGCGCGAACTTCTCCCGGGCGCCAAATCACAAATCGCAAATCACGGGGGATTTCTACGGAAAAATCGATTTATTCACGTTTTAGAGAAGTCAAAAAGCACTCAAAATAAACAACTATACCTAGACGTTAATACAAAAAAGGTATTGGTCCGTAGACTTATGTTTTAAAGTTGTTTTTTTTTAGTTAAAGAGCAAAGTTCACTTCGGCACGTTCAACTAGTGTCGTTTTTATGAAAACAAACCTGATACCCTTCAAACTTTTGCTGTTGTAGGATGCAAAGCAGTTCTAACTATCAAATAAATCGTATTTGGGTTTTTAAAATTGAAGTCTTTTGATGAAAAACGACTTTTCTTGCTCATTTTCGTCGAAAATATAAAACTTTGACTGAATTTCCCACTCCTCGAAACTCTCCTTAGTTCTTTTAAAAGTGCAATTCCTTGCACGGTTGGCTTCAGGCAAGTATGGGCATGTTTACCTGAGTTATCGTTCCAGTCTTATTAGAGTTCACTGCTGGAGACTGGCGAAAGCGCGCGTTTTGCGAGAAATACAAAAAGAACGGCACAAAAATGGCAACAAAAAGATTTGTCGAAGACTACGAAATAACAAACGAAAATATAGGTAAGTTTTAAATTATTACATAATTATTTAACGTAATTTGAAAGAAACACTATTATACTTCAGCTTTACTTAATTAAAATAAACAAAAAGCGCATTGCGTTGTAAAATGTCAATGTTTTAAGAAATGTTTTGATTTTTGTTCCCTTCAAAATTTGTTATTTTTGCGCACAAAGTCAGGTTTTAATACGAGTTTTTTAACGCTCTAGGTAGTCCTAGGTGAATTTGATAGCACAAAAAGTTTCCCAAATTAACATACTTGAGAATAATTAAAATTAAGAGTCGGACTTTTTTGGACTTTTTTTGCTATAACTTTTTTCCCTGAACATAGTGCTGTTCATCATTTGTATCGCAAGGAGAAGCAACGCAAGTTAACACGAAAGTTTTTAAAATATCAAGCGGAACATTTTAAATATTGTTCAATCTAATTATATTGCCACAATATTTGATTTTAGATACAATAACATTCCCCAAGCCGTCAAAGACATAATTAGTTCAAAAACAATTAGTTTCAAAAACAATATATAGATCATGTCAGCTCGATAAAGTACAGCGTATACGGCCATTTTAGAGGCCATGTTTACGTTTTGAAAAAGAACCGCGGAAAAATTGTATTTTTGCGTGTAGTTTTTTTTATAGGTGTGAAACATCCCCTAAAAAATCGTACAAACTGAAATCAAGTCATAATATATCAGAAATTTATCAAAAGAAGACAAACTTTTTCGTCGAAACATATTTTTTTAGCCTTGAATTCCAACATGTCAGCTCGACAAACTGCCGAGAGAATGCGGCCATGTTTACGTTTTGAGAAAGGACCGCGGAAAAATTGTATTTTTTGCATGTAGTTTTTTTCCTAGGTGTGAAACATCCCCTAAAAAATTGTACAAACTGAAATCGAGTCATAATATATCAGAAATTTATCAAAAGAAGACAGACTTTTTCGATCGTCGAAACATATTTTTTTAGCCTTGAATTCCAACATGTCAGCTCGACAAACTGCAACGGACGTATTTAAAATAGTGTTTTCTCCTCGTTGAGATAGGTTGAGATAAATTTGAACACACCAAACTATAGACATTTAACTTGGCTTTATGTCTCACGTAAACTTGAACGGGGCTTTTTTGTTCTTTTTTCATAAAATGGAGATATTTTGCAGCCTTTATAGTTTTCCGTAACACTGTCACTGTATGTCAACGACTGCAGTCGCACGAAAAAAGATTCACCTGAATATTTTTGGAGTGTCGGCGGCAGTTAGTTATACCAATAATAGAAATCAAATCAATTAGTGTTTTTTACACTTTACAATGAACTTTCAATGGATTCCGAGCAGGCCGGCTCATGCATGGTTATACAAAAACGGTTATATATTTAAGTTTTCAAATTGTTCAAGCAAATTGTAGTTTGTTTTTTTTCCAAATTCTAGCTGTTTTAAATGCATGCATGGTCAATTTTTGGCTATATAATTATTGAAAAATAATAGCCAAGCAATGTCAGAATATTCTTACTGTGAAAATGTTTATCCTACCTTCGCATTATGAAGTAAAATATCCCATTTCATACCAAAATTTTCGTATTTGGAATATTCCCACATTCGATCAGCTCGATTCCTTTTCAAATTTTTATTTCGCTCATGATGAATCTTTAAAGCCCTTTTTCCTTCATCAGATATACAGAAAATGAATCCAACAATGTCTTCAAACCATCAAGTTGTTTAGGAATGTGCAGAAAACATTTTTTACTTTAGTTTTTTCAGCTCTTTTTTGCATAAACATTCCAATTCCATTTTTATTGACATTAAATTAATGTATACGGGGGGTACGCGCATCACACAAAGATCAGGGGCGCTATCTCCGTTTCACCGCCCGTGTTTTATAGCGCCCTGGTCTAAAGCCACTCGCGCTGCGCGCTCGTGTCTTTAAACCTAATAAAACACTCCTGCTCGTTTATTAAACAGTACATAAAATATCCGACCCACGCCGGTTTTCTGTCAGCAGTGCTGTTCCTTGCTCCACACGTATTGCGTATACGTGCCCAACGCAATGCTATAAAGGCCACCCATGATCAGCAGCCGCGCAAGCCATAAAGCGTGGGTACTATAGGCAGATACTAGCTGCATGTTTTCAGTTTTAAAACAAAAACAACAAAGCCATTTGCGACATGCAAATTGATGCAATTATTGGCTAGGCGTAAAAAAAATACCTGTGGTTCCGGTTCCCGACCGACCCTATTTTTTTCTGCCGACCATATTATTTTTTCAACGCGATTGACCGTGCGACCCTATTTTCTCCAGGTGGTTGCGGGCTGCTCATACAGCGTGCCAAAATAGCGTCTGTTGTCACAATAATTATTGAACCAAATTGCCTCAATTCGTCCATAGGAAATACGCACCTCTAGTTAATATTGATGTCGGGACTCTACTGCAAATCGCCCAGCAAAAAACCGGCAAAACCATGAAAAAAATATTCAAAAAAAAATTTATTTCCGACCTACCGACCCTAATTTTTTCACGATATGAAACCGGAACCACAGGTATTTTTTTACGCCCTATAGACTACTGACAATATTATAAAACAATTATAGCATTCGCTCACGTAGTATATATGCACCCACCCATAGACAACTCGGTGTATCAGAGCCCGGTTCATATAAGACTCGAGCTCATGGTATAAAATTATTAAATATAGCTTTACTTCCATTGAGTATTGAATTCATGCATGTCAGTGCAATCATGGTAATCTGCATGTGGATTGTGGAAGGGGTACAACTGATTGCATGCTGCGGCAAAACCTGCAATGGCAATGTGCATGCATGCCTCCGCCTTTATTCCAACATAAGGTAAAAACTCTTGCAATCACATCATCCTAACACTTTTTGTGATACTGGCATTCCAAACTAGTAGTCTATATAGCTACAATCGCCAAATAGGCTAATACCACATGTGATTTGTTTTGGACCAGGATTTTTTGTTCAAATACGGAATAACGGTCCAGCTGCTTTCATGTTTATATGTATACATATTATATTGCATTTTTATAAAATTACTAAATCGAGTCGATTTCCATGCAACTGATATATTATTGGTAGTACATGCATGTAGTTAATAATTATATATGTAAAGCCTCGACTGAAGCATTTTAGTACCTGTAAGGTTGAGACAACCTGTAATTCCTGTTGATTTTCTTTGCTAAACAAACAAAAAATAATATTGAACACTACCTGAAATAATATGCATGCCCGAAGAAAGTGCTGGGGCCGGTTGTGTAAAAACGTAGTTACGCAACATAGCAAGAATTAATACCGGTAGCGCATTATTTGCCGTTAAAAGTTTATATATAAATTTCATTGTAAAAATTACCCACCTGTAGGAAAGTCATTCTTACGTTTCTTCCTAACTCGATAACAATAACAATAACTCGCAACTACCAAAAGAACGGCCACTACTGATGCAAAACATACTGCTATCACGACATTGTAACTAGGATTGGAACTTTTCAATATAATGGATTCTAAAATAAAGGAAGAACGTTGCATGGTGTGAGAATGAATGCGCATGGTTGGCATGGTAAACCTAATTTCAGCAAATAAAAAGATTGATTGACTAATAATGGTTGATTAATTGGTTGGTTGAGTTGGTTGATTGATTGTTAATTGCATTAAATTAATTTCCACCTATTATTCAACAAACAGCAGTCGATGAATATTTACGCATGAATGTAAAAGTGGCTTTCTCCTTCCCAAAGGTTTCCATGATTTTTTTCCGTTTGGGGTTACTTCCCCATGCATGCATGTCTCGCTGTTTATGGGTTTCTGACCTAGAGCCTCCTCGAGTATTTACAAATAACTTTACATGAAGTTTCCTGAATAAAAGTGAGCGCACGGAAAGTGATGGGAAGATTGAATCTCCCATCACTCCCAGCGCGCTCACTTTCCCTCGCTAGAAACTTCATGTAAGCCTCTGCAAGACGAGAAAGCCCAATAACCCGTGTTTTTATGCGTGGAACCTCTGACAAGTGTGTTTGTGGGAGGAAGAGGAAACCTACGAGAAAGGACTCTGAAGAGAGAAAGAACATACCTATCACTGCATCAGTTTTGGCAACGTTGGAAGGTTCACTGAATACTCCACCAAATGAAAACATCCGAAATTCATAAAGCACATTTGGATTCACAATATCAGTACTAATTGACCATTGCCGTCTTTCCCAGTTAATAAGCGTTCCTAGAGATTTCCATTTCAATGACGAATTCAGTCTTCGATATTCGATCAAGAAGTATTGTATTTGTGGTCGACCAGGAGTTTGAATGTACAACCATGATACTTGGTATCCAGCGTCAGTTCGAGTACAGTTGACATTACTAGGAGCTAGTGGCTTCGTGTATGCTAAAAAATTTATATATGATAATAAGAAATATGGACAGTATGAATCCTTTACTATGTTAAATAAGAAGTTTTCTGACGATTACAAACACTAACAAAACAGCTCGAATTGGAGGTGGACAAGTTGATCTTATAGTACTTAACTTCCAGCCCGACGTGAACTAAATATGCGCAAAGCAAATTCGGGAACTGCATGTGCCAATTACTTCAATATTTAATATAGTTTACACTGCCTTAAGCAGCGCTATTTTGAAGACATTACTGCTGATATGATTGATAAGCTTTCAACGTCTGTTATTAACACGAAAACTGACCTCGAATTTGTTTCTACATGTTAACTTATGAAAATATGTTGGTCAATGTGTTGCACTTAATTTTGGTTGGTTGTATGAAGAGTGGATAGCGCTATCCACTGGATAGTCAATTATTTTTATTGCTTTTGGGTCCATATCAATACTTTAATGTTAGTGACTTTTCAAGCATTTCTACAACGGTTGAAAACCATCACTATCCAGTGGATAGCGTTATCTGCTGGCCCCTGCACTGGAAAAATTCAAGATTGGGTGTACACTACGTTTTGCAGCATGTGAAAGCAGACATGAAGAATGAGGATCAGAGTGTATTCAGATTAATTGCATGCAGATACAGTTTTACGTCTAGCATTTTGCAAAAATTGAAACTCAGTAATAGAATTCGTGATAACACTGGCCCGTTATCTTAGAAGTTGCAATGGTTAGAATTTAAATAGCTCCATGGTTTCTGTTACTGGAAGATTTACCTTGGCCGTTGTCATGCTGATAATTTGTAAACTTGTCAGAACGGAATATACGACTAAAAATTCCAAAGCCTATTTTATTGACTCCTCTCATACTGAACAGATATGACTGCTGAGGTTCTACGTCGTATAAAGTATAGGTTGTGACGTCAGCAAGGATATTTCTGATGGTTTTCCAATGATTATCATTAGAACTAGATAATCGGTACCAGATCTCAAACGTTTGCCTTGATCCACCATCGTAGCCTCGTTCCCATGATACCACGGCAGATTTTGAAAGCATTTCGACATTTTTTATGACTGGTGGAACAGGAGTGGCTAAAACAAAAAAGCTTTTGAAATGACTGTTGATTCAAGCCAGTATAAAACTAAAAGGGATGTCATTTGAAATGATCTAGATCAAACATGTTCTTTATAAACTTGCATGAACGTCAAACACACTTCAGAATAATATGAAAGAAGTAAATGATGAGTTTTATAACATTCATAGGAAAAGAATCAAGTATACAAACACCACTGAAAGCACAAGTTACACTAAAATTATATCAAGTTGAAAATTTGGCAAAGAATCCGTGCACTTCAAGACAATAATAAATTTGGCACATGCATATATAATGCACAAAAAGTCAATGATACTCACATACTACCAACACCTCTACTGATCGTCTTAACGATTTCCTAGATGAGCTAATTTTGCATTCATAAAGACCGCTATCCTCCAATTGTAAATCCCTAATATGCAGGCGTCCACTGCGGCTGGTTGTTCGGAATTGGGGCAATGATTCGTTCACTTTTCTCCAAGTTACACGGGAAGTTGTTGCCTTACATACCATTGTCAGACTTTCACCAAGCTTCGCAGTTAATTTCCTTGGAGGGACTTGTGTAAATAATGGTTGGGCTAAAAATAGCGAAAAGAAAAGATTTCTTCCCGTTTTCGAATTCCTCCGTTTTTGATATTTCGAAAATACATAAAACTATGTCCGTCCACATGCATGTTAATTTCAGAAAGTTCATTTAATTCCAACAGAGTTATTCTGAACCCAAATTCACTCCACATTTGGGGTTAAATTTGGTTCAAATAACCCCATAGTAGGAGTTAAATTAACGCCCTGAAATTAACAGGGGCATTAGCGTTTTCGAGATTTATTCATTTCGTCTTTAATTATGGAAAAAATATTACGGAAAAAGGCAAATCCTCAAGTAGTCGTTTGTCGAGGTTTGCTCAAATTCTTGGTTGATAATTAGAGCAAACAACAAAAATAAAAGTACGTTCACCACGCTTGATTCTGCTCATTACGTCATTAATTGTTTTTGGAAATCTTCGTTTTCCAAAATGCCTCCGTTTTCAAAAGTCTCCACTTTCAAAGCTGTTTTCGAAATGAACCGTTTTCGTGGATGAAGGCATCCGTTTTCCATCGTATTAGTGTAGACGATAGGCGAAAACGCATACAAAAACGAAAATGGATTAGTGTAGAGTCGTGGGCGAGGCTATATACGTACTGCTGTTTGAATCTGCATGTACGATTATAGAGGAACACATCAGTATCTATAATATTTATTATATAGTAGAGAGGGAGATACTGAAAAATACACAGTGAGATATTTTCCATATTTTCACTAGTGAAGATATCGATCACGTGACTTTTTCCAATTTGCTTTTGAGTGTGAAATTTCACAATTTTTTGCTTGGGAGTCTTGGGACTATATAATAAACAGATCATTACACGGTGGCTTGAAGATATGACTTTTATCTTCTCGTGTTAAAAACAATATTTTACTCACTCGCTGCGTTCGTTCGTAAAATATTGTTTTCACCACTTGAAGATAAAAGTCATGTCTTCGCGCCGCCGTGTAGTGTAACATCCTCGATATAGAAATCCTGAAACCCAATTCATTTCCATTTTCATAACGCGCGGTCCTGGTATTTTATCATGAATGTATATACAGCTCGTCCATTCAGTCTACATGCACCACAAGGGAATAGAGAGCAATGGTCTAATTACCCGAAACAATACGAAAATGCTACGAAAACGGATCATAGTTGTGTTGTGAATTCAAAGTAGAACCTTCATTCAGTTAGTTGTGTATTCTAACTCAAAAACTATCCAACGTATTGATACGAAAATTTGTCGAACTAATTAATGGACATTACCCAAGGACAAACTACTTCAATCTTGGTTAAATTTGGTTGAAAACTGGATGAGAAATTAACAAAGGCTTGTTTTGCTTTGCCTGGCAAAGTAAAATGAAGCCCATCGCAGCAAATACAACGGCAACGTCAATGAAGACGTGCTCGTCAACAATAGCATTTTTAATCCGACACAAAGACGACTATAAATGATACCCTTGAGCATGTTCCAACTGCTACATTACTTACATCATTTTCACGGTTAAAACGTTTGAAGACGTATGTGGAGTGTTTAATGCGAATTCACTGATTGCATGCACTGGTACTTATACAGGGTGAGTAAAAAAAACTGATACCTTCGCGGCTAATTTGGATAACAAAGGTTTCAGTTTTTTTTACTCACTCGGTATATGGGTTGTTTCTAAAATATACTAAGTATAAGAAGCAAATAAAGTTATGCTTTGGCTCGAATACACAAATGTATGTAATTCGGTTTTCTGCCGTTGCATGTCGGCTGCCAAACTCCCAATCTTATAAATATTGAAATATTCTGTAAAAGGCAATAGCAGAGTTGTTTCTTTCGCTATAACTGATAAAATGTTGTAGAATTTCAAGCAGGGCTTTAAACAGTAAGCTTAGCTCTTCCAATGGCACGGCACACACCAACTGAAATATCATTTCTCAGTTTTATGTGTAAACTCGAGTATTAATTTAGGATGAAGTACCAAGTTTAACCGTTGAGCGTTATATAGCTTGAGTGAATAAGGACCGAAATCCGTTTGGGTACGTACATGTCATTCACTATATAATGAAACAAAACGAAACGAAAAACAGAACGAAACAACTACATATACATACCTTCTACTTTAAGTATTGTCTCAGCTGAATTTCCCAAACCAATTTTATTGAAAGGTGCGCACTTGTAAACTCCTTCATGATCTGTATTCACATTTCTTAGATAAAGTGTCCCATTCGGGAAGATTACAGCATTAGATAATTTTGGGAGATGTTTGCCATTCCATAACCACTTTGTCGTAATCAGAGAGGGATTTCCTCGTGAGGTGCACGGCAATTGAACATCACTACCTTCACTTGCCATCACTGTTCCTTTAGTTAAGATTATAGTTGGCGGGTCTGCAAAATAATGGAGGCGAAAACTTATATGTAGCAGCACACGACAAAACACAATCAGTGTTGACTGTATTTGGCAATGTAACTTCATCTCAAAAACCTCGCTCTCGTTCGGATTGACTTAATAAGATGCAAGTATAGCCTATGTTACCCTTACAAATTAATGTGTATGACCTATAAATAACCATGTCGATTCATTTATCGTGATAAACATGCTTCTTCAAATGTATATTTTAGTAATATGTTTTTAGAAATGTATGGCTTACACAATATATCCATTTTAACTTCCACTCCTCTGTAGACTCTTGGTACTTCTTCATCACTCAGCGTTTTTGCCGTACATTTGTACGTTCCTGCGTCTTCTACCTTCGCGCGTCGGACAAGCAGTCCACCCCACATCAGAACTGTAAATCGTGGGTTAACTGTAACGTCTACGTTGTTTTTAGTCCATGCGTATCCAAGAAGCATTTTCGAGGTGTCCGAATTGTTTTTCAATTTGCAAGTAAATATAGCCGAGTGACCAATGGTGACGTATTTCACTGTTTTACTGTCTAATTCTTCATCTGCATAAAAATACAAACATATTAATAAAATATATGAAATGCTAATTTTATTTCGCTGAGAGCTGTTACAATATTTGGGCTAAATTTTAAATTGGTATAAAAACACAACTGTACATGCAGGTTTTGTATTACTTTTAGATCAGATCCACCAAACCCAGTATACAAGTTTCATATTACTTTTATTGATATATTCGAAATCGAGCTCATACTGATTTGTAAGTACAGAACATATATTATTTCAGTTTTACGTCTTGTTGCAAGCATTGTTGATATGTGTACATACGCCAACCATATTCAAGCAAACATGCCTTCGAATTTCGTATGTTTCATGTGCCACCAAACCATGCAAAGCATCGAAAAATCGAAACATATAGTCCTAAAGCCTCGATGCCACAGGGACAAACGGTATTTCTTGTACACGCTTAAAAATTGAGAAAATCAACAACTTGTTGCAAGTTGATATCGACAGGCGTGAACAAGGTGTGCGACCCACTATGAACATTATTGTCAACATGTTGTTGCAGCATTGTTCAACCGTAACAACTTGGGACAACATGGTTGACAACTTGTTCATAGTTGGCCGCACAACATTGTTCACGCCTGTCGATATCAACTTGCAACAACCTGTGCGTTTTTAGCCGTGTAATTAACAATGGGAATGCTTCATGTAATTTTTGGCACAGATCTTATCTAAAGTGATATAAATTTTACTTCATTTTATAGCCAGAGAAATGTGTATAAGTATGTCTGTACAAGTCAGGTGACCTAATTAGTCGCAGGTGCACGCCAGGAAAACTGTCAAGCTGGAGTGCTGGACAGCTACGGCGCATGTTAAAAAATGTTCACTCGTCTTGCGCGGGCAAACGACCGTAGGATGGAAAACGGCCTTTATCGTGATATTTATGAACACAAGGATGGGCTTGTTTAATTAAATACTCTGAATCTACATGCAGCAAGAAGCTAGCAAGGAAACGTCAGCTTAAATAATTTCCACATACAGCTTCCCAAAATCTTCATTATCATGGCTTTTATAATGCATTAACTTAATTTTCACCTGAAAGTGTTGCCAATTTAGCCATATAAATCTGATACCTATCGTTATATTAAATATTCGGTAATAAGAGTACTCTTTCTACAGGCATGCATTCCCCACAACGATTACTTCCTTTTCAAATCAATACGTAGCTTAACAATAAGGGGAATCAGGGGAGAATCATGGTCGAACAATCAACATATTATCCTGGATATGTTGTAGCTATATATAGATATACCATAATTCCCTGTTAGGATGCCATAACAATAAGTTTGACCAAGCTGGCCTTCTTATTTTTTGTTTTGTTTCAGTCTTTTCTGGATCTGTATTTGCTGCAGGCCACAATGAAAAGCGATTGGCTAATGGAATCATAATGACCAATTCATGCATTCATAAATGCAGTTCGAATTCGAACTATGTATAAAGTGGACCGCAGTCACTGGTATTTTGCTTTACTCAATCAACTTGAGATTGAAAAAATGACTAAATATTTAATTTACTAGAAGCTTTTAAAACTGTTTACAAACTAATTCCACCAAATCAAGCTTGAAGAATCATAGATTCATCCATGCACGCCGTTAGATTGTAATACGCCTTTCCGGCGTTCGCGATGCCATCTTGCCAAGTGAATCAAACACAATAGAGCAGCGATACCATTATCCTAGGGACAAGTATTCCCGTTGGGAAGAAGCAATGGTTTAACGACTGTGTTTGCCCCACTTGGCAAGATGGCGTCGCGAACCCCAAAAAGGCGTATTGTTAACAGCATTTATAATGTATATGAATTAAGTATGTACCTGCTGACACCATATATTCCATGAGAAATGAAGTAAAGATTATATATAAAACGAAGTTGGGTCCATAACTCGTGGAACAGCGAACGAAGATCATAATAAAAGCCTTTGAAAATTATTTTTCTACAATAATGCCAGATATTTTGACCTTGCTCTTTTCCTCTCGCCTGTATACTCTCTATACATTTCATTAACACAAACAAATATTTAATCGCTCTTGCTATTCGCTTAATTCGTGTAAATTATTCCTATTTTGTTTTCGTAACGCTAACAACCAATCGAAAACGTTCCTTCTTAATCCTTAGGCCTTTTGTTGGAAGATCGTTAAGAGACTCGGATTAAGCGAAGTCAATAGATTTAGGAAATATAGTACAGCTATTAAAATAACTTTTAGTAAATGTTTGCCAAGGGAACGACAGTATGGCACACCAGAGTTCCTGACTGACTTTAGAATACTAAATCCTTGGATTCGTTGAATGGTTCATTAATCAGTTTTACATTTACAGTTCCGTGTCTTATTTCATTTCGTGTCGAATTCAACAATGAAAGTATACTATTTCTTCTTGTTGAAAAGAGATCAATAACTTATACGCCTGCATGCGCATTGTGAACCTTTGTCATAAAAATCAAACAAAAATCTTTTATTGCTATCCTAAGTCAATTTCAAGTGGTCGGAGTTTCTCCTATTGTGCTGTTGATCACGCTGACGGTCACACTGGTGCAAACGTTATAGCTTTCACACAATATCTCAGTATGAGATCTCCGCCAGTCAGGAGACGAGCTCAAGTATATAAGCAACCATCATAGCTTACTCACTGTCGTAATCATAAAGTAATAATAGAAATGAAAAACCATACTAATTGCATGGCTTTATCCTACTTAAAGCCAGCTATAAACTTAATACGTTTTACAATGTACAAAATGGCCGACACTAAAATGACCAATGACTAACGCGGGCTCAGGTGCCACAGCAACCCAATCCGGTAACTAATAAATATAAAGTTTATGTCATTCTTCCTCTCTAAAATAAAAGTTCAACTTACTATAATTAATTAAATAAACTAATGTAAAAGTCATCTTACTATAAGTTCAAATACTAGTAAACGAATAGTTCATTTAGCCTATTGTTTACCAACCATAACGAGATGGTGGTTTAACTTGACGAGTTGAACGTCTGAGTGCAGGTACTTGCGTTGTTGAATACTGCTGTGGATCAGAAGCCGTTGGCGATGTAGTTGAATCCTGTTGTGAATCAGCGGCCACGGGATCTGGAACATTCGGAGCTAGTCCGTTTTCCACTTCTCCGCTTGGCAGGGTTCCTTGTGGTTCATTCCGGACAGGAGTAATGGGGCAAGGAGCTAGATCTCGAAGGGAGACTGAGGACTCTCTTCCATCGGGGTACTTCACATGGGCGTAAGTGGGGTTTGCATCCGTTAGCTCTACTTGGTCGACAAACGGGTCGTTCTTGCTTGTTCTAACAAAACGCCTTAACAGGACCGGTCCCGGGCTCTGTAGCCAGGATGGTAGCGAAGTTCCCAGAGATGAACGTCGTTGGAAGTTGAAGAATCTCTCGTGTGGGGTGGTATTGGTAGAGGTAGAGAGGAGTGATCTTATGGAATGAAGGACGTCTGGAAGCACCAGTTCCCATTTTGAATCAGGTAGATTTGCTGACTTGAGGGAAAGTCGAACAGCCTTCCAAATAATACCATTATAACGTTCGACCTGGCCATTTCCAATTGGGTGGTAGGGGGTTGTTTTGCTTGTTGCTATCCCTCGTCGAGACAAGTACTCCTTGAGTTCTTGTGAAAGGAATGAGGCACCACGATCCGAGTGAATGTAACTAGGCATACCACAAAGGGCGAATATCTGATCAAGACATTTGATAACTGTCGAGGAGTGCATGTTTGGACAGGGGAACGCAAACGGAAAGCGAGAATATTCATCCACCACAGTCAACAAATATGCATTACGAGATGATGTTGGTAGAGGCCCCTTGAAATCGATGCTCAATCGTTCCATCGGCTGCGTAGCTTTGATAAGGACTCCAGCCTGCTGTCGGTAAAACTGTGGTTTGAGCTCTGCGCAAGCTCTACACGATGAGCATGTCTTCTTGACATCTTCGGTAGAATAGGGTAAATTCTTCGACCTTATGAAATGCAGCATTCGAGTCACACCAGGATGGCTAAGTGCTGTATGGATTCCCATGAGACCCTCTGACGTTGACATTGAAGAAGTGAAAGCTCGGGTAAATGAATCTGGGGCTACATTGTCCTTACCAGGTCTGTGCTCCACAGTGTAGCTAAAAGAAGCTAATTCAAGTCGCCAGTCTTGCATTTTATTGTTCTTTATCTTCGTGCGCTTCCTGCTATCAAACATAAATGCGACGGAACGTTGGTCGGTTTTAAGTGTGAAGTGACGACCAGCAAGAAAATGTCGCCACTTACGGACTGCTTCTATGATAGCCATAGCTTCTTTCTCAACAGCGGGGTAATGTAGTTCACTACTTTGGAGAGTTCTGGACATGAAGGCAACAGGACGACCACCTTGGTTAAGTGTAGCAGACAAAGCGACATCTGACGCATCACTCTCAACCACAAAGGGAAGAGTTTCATCTATGGAATGAAGAGTTGCACCTTCAAGTTCCTTCTTAAGCGTATTAAATGCCGATAATGCTGCCTTATCTAGTGGGAAGGTAGTAGCTTGCGTCAAGGGTCTTATCTTATCAGAGAAATTCGGTATCCACTTCGCATAGTAAGCAAACATGCCAATCACCCTGCGAAGGGAGCGGATACTCTCTGGCGGCGGAAAATCTTGAAGTGGGCGGAGTCTTTCCTCGTCAGGAGCGATCACCCCATTGCCAACCCGATAACCTAATACATTGATGGATGTCTTGGATTCGATTGATTTGCTTTCATTCAAAGTAAGGTTCCTGCGTTGGACTGCTTCATGAAATGCCTGAACATTTACGTCATGTTCCTTTTGATCTCGCCCAGCCACCGTTATGTTGTCCAGATATGGAAATGTGTCATTGAGGTTCTCCTCGTCAACAAAATTGTCCATTGCTCTCTGGAAAGCAGCCACTCCATTAGTGACGCCAAACGGTATACGGCAAAATTGATACAGTCTTCCATTAGCTTCGAACCCAGTAAACTTTCGATCGGACTCCTTTATCGGTACTTGATGGTAAGCACTCTTTAAATCAAACGTTGAGAAAACTTTGTATTGTGCTAGGTTGTTGATCATGTCATCGATCCGAGGAAGAGGGTACGCATCAAGCTCTGTGTATTGATTGATGGTTTGAGAGTAATCAATACAGAGCCTCTTCTTGTGCCGGTTTGAGGGATCTTTAGAAACAACAATTTGTGCTCTCCATGGTGTTATGGTAGGCTCAATAATTCCTTCAGACAGGAGTTTTGTAACTTCCTGATTGATAAACTCCTGGTCTTCTTTGCTAAAGCGCCTAGATCTACTGGCGATAGGCTTACATTCAGGGAGAAGGTTTCCAAACAATGAAGGCTCCTCGATGGAGGCTGTCGAAGAAAGAGGACAGGCAGGCCTAGGAATTACTAGTTCTGGTCTAGTACCGCCAAACTCTATGGTGACCCGCTTGTGCTTCTTCTGGAAGTCTTGCCCAAGGATAATGTCACTACAGAGATCTTTCAAGACTCCCAAACGAATGGATGAGTAGGAAAGTTGATTAATTACAATATCCGTAAAACAGTGACCAAGGATCTGAGTCTTAAAAGATGTTAGGGCCATAGATATCTTCTGTGTTGATGGATGAAGCTTGAGAGACAGTTTCCTTGCCATAGTTTCACTTATAAAACTTTCCGAACTCCCAGAGTCAATGAGTGCGGTCAGTTCAATACCGCCAATAGAGACTTTTACAGATGCTTGTTTTAGACTTTCTGGACAACTTGCAACAATTGAACAAAGAGTAGGCGTGAACATAGAAGCAGTGGTGATTGAAGGCGCCTTTGACTTGCAAACTTTAGCATAATGTCCTTTCTTTCCACAGTTGTTACAATTAGAATTCCGGGCTGGACAACTTCTTCTGTTGTGGAGATTATCACCACAAAAGTAGCATTTCTTCGATGTGAATGTAGCTGCTAGAGAATCATAATCTAAGGCATGAGCTCCAGCAACCTCATCTGTCGGAGGGGAGGAGACTGCTGCAGTTGTAGGTATTTCAGGCATCCTATATGCTTCAGAATTCTTTTGAGCCAAGTCCAAGGCATTTGCTTGGTCAAAAGCAGTTTGAAGGTCGAGCTGTTTATTTTCTAGGAGCCGTTGGCGAATCAAAGGTGATAAGAGGCCATTAATAAAGGAATCACGAACCAATTCCTCACGATACTGTTCAGCAGTTACGTTCTTAAGGTTACAATCTTTGCTAAGTTTTCGAAGTTCTTGGAGAAATTCAGTAAGAGTCTCGCCGGATTTCTGCCGTCTTGTTGCCAGCAAATGTCTAGCAAATATTTCATTTGGTGTCTTGACAAATAGTTGTTCTAGTACGCGAATGGCCGATTTATAGTCCTTGCAGTCTTCGATATATTCATAAACGTTATGAGACACATAATTTACAAGAGTTCTATATTCATCAGGAGCCTTTTCGCCACATTCATCAATAAAATTAGTAAAGGTACGGTGCCAATGCCTCCATTCTTTCGTTGCTGTGGGCGAATTTGGATCTAAGTCGAGTCGTGCTGGTTTGAGTAGCGTATCCATGTTTTCGTTGTCCAAACTGATTTTCGCGATTCTATTTTGGGTTTATTTTAAGTAGGATAAATTGTCGTAATCATAAAGTAATAATAGAAATGAAAACCATACTAATTGCATGGCTTTATCCTACTTAAAGCCAGCTATAAACTTAATACGTTTTACAATGTACAAAATGGCCGACACTAAAATGACCAATGACTAACGCGGGCTCAGGTGCCACAGCAACTCAATCCGGTAACTAATAAATATAAAGTTTATGTCACTCACATCGTCTCAGAGTTAACGTTTCCAAAAACAGCTTCACTTTTTTAAGCTTAGCCTTTGTGAATAGTGGTCGCAAACATTTTGTTAGGAATATATGATTTTATTCCGTTTTCTACGCGAGGTAGGGGAACGTTATAGTCAATCTTAAATAACTATCAGTTCTTAATGTTCAATACTGTTCGTTCCTTCTGTTCAGGTTCGTCTTCTTGTAGTAGTTTCCTAAAGTTCATTTCAACCTTGAACTGGCTTTCTCCGTTTGTGGATCTGTTCGTTTCTTCGTTCGTCCTAGTTTGTCTGAGCTTCAGTAGCCTTTCATCAATTGAGCTTTACTAAGTCTACGTCACTGACGAATTTCGGTTGTGCACACCCTTTTATAGTAACGGTTGAGGGGATCTTTGTACACGTGATCTAACAAGTGGTGTGATTTGTATCCAGCCAATCAACGTTGAGTTCTAAAAGTGTGGGTTGGCGTTGCTAGCTCGTTCCAGCTCTCACATTCTGTTTATTTAAGGCGTTGTCGCACTGGTCGAGTCGATTCGCTGTTGAATCGATCAATGTTAAAATATGTTCACAACTTAAAATACTTATCAAAATATCATAGTAAAATCTTCAAACTATACCTATGTGAACCTTACTTTACCTACTAAACTAAATTCACTTACAATTTTATTGAACCAAGATTTTGATGACGTAATGTTACAATTACTCGACCACGCGAAATGTACCGAAGAACGATTGACAGAAACGCCCTAAGCATGCACATTTTCATGTCAGAGAAACACAACAGCCCACCATGCAAGGCTATTGTCCAACTATTTTATCCGTCCAAATTATTTATCTTGCCTAATGGACAGATAACTGACACTTTTACACAAGTCCGAAATGATATTTACTTTATCTGCGTTTTACAGCAAAAAGGCTCATTATCTCTCCATTTGACGTAACTAATATTTATAAATAGCTGGGGTGCAAACTGAACTATTTTTATACTATTTAGATACTTTCGTAACAATTTTATTAATTTAAGGACTGTGATCGCAAATTGTTAACTTTCTCGTGCCGTTTCTGTCAATGCATAATTTATAGTTGTTTTAACAAGGAATACCTCAATTTTTATAAACCAAAACAAAGCTGGTCCGAACAGTCACGTATTTCTGACATTAAACCGAGCAAAACAAAGTCTGATTTTAATAAAATTAAAAATATACAGTCTGTAAAAACTATCAACAATGCGTTGCGCACCAGACATTTTGGTAGATTTTTCTATAAACGCAATTTTTTAAATTGTACGTATACCATACAAAATTAAACAGGAAAAGATCGTGAAGCGGATGGAAATTGAAAAATGCCTTTAAAACTTCAGTAATTATTTAATCTATTTTTATCTTTCAAAATTACCTTTAATTTTCAAATTGATACTCGATCCATGAACGAATGCAGTGATGTTATCCCATAACATAAAGCTCTTACATTCATATGTTGCTGCGTCTTGTTGAAGAAGTGGGTTTATTATCAATCCGCCATATTTATCCATATTGAGACGTGTGGAGAACTCTGGATTGATGTACACCTCATAGTTTGGGTACTTTACCAACAACAGAGTAGTGGAGTTGCTTTTCCTCCATTCAATCCATTTTATTTCCTCTTGATAGGATAGTACATCGCATGGAATTTGAATAGGTTGCCCAGCTTGCTCGTGTAGGTCAATTTTAAAAAGTTCGTGTTTTGAATTTTGTAGATATTCAATATTTTCTGAAAGATATCAATTTGATGGTTTAGTCCAAGGCAACCTATATGGTCTAATCAGATGGTTTAATTTAACCTGTGGCTAAACGGTATTTTTATAAGTGTTTGCATGCATGCCTATTTTGGTGTGTGGAGACACCACGTATATTTATTATTGCAAAGCTTTCGACCCGCAAGTCCAGTCAGTGTTAATAAAATATCCGGTCTTACGGATCCAAAGTTTTGCAATAATAAAACACATGGTGTTAACGTTTCCACACTCCAGAAGATATATTAAACTCAATATTCGTTAGTGAATAAAAGCCAACTTTATTCACAACAGCCAAGAACTGATTTGCATTGCCTCCCCAGACTTTTCAGGGAGCTTCGGCAGTGAGTTGCGCTGAATCACATCCCCCCCGGCCCCCAATCTCCCCTTATTGGCTGGGTTATTAATGAAACCTATGAAGATTACAATGAGACTGTAAGAGGATGAGGCCAAGATGAAGATGCATGCGAAGATAGTATTTATACGCATAGATACACGCCAAGTTGCCTTCAGGTTATATAAAAAGAGAAGAAACGTTCGAGAAAATGGATGATTGCGGTCAGAAAGGATAACGACTATTTTATAACCATACTTTGAATAATGCACGACGTAGAGTCGTCTACGAACGAGTGGCAGTCAGGGGTGGCAATTTCTCTGTGGGAGAATGCCCTTGAATGAATATTTACTCACCTATTCCACAGATATTTAATGCTAGACAACTCAGCAATATCAAGGCAGTTCTGTTTTCTGTGCGCATTTATTTAATTAACAAAATCCTTTAAAAAGGAAAAAAAATACGATTACAAGCATTTTGGTGCACTTATAGCCAATTATATTGTGACGTCATAATATTGGTTTGCTAAAAAGAGAATTTGCTCGCGCATGTACGTCAACAGTTATTTATGACGTATTTGATAAATTACAAAATTACGCTAGGGTTTATCCTAATTTTGAAACAGTCGATGCAGACATAATATAAGTCTCTTCCTACGCATGCATAATAAATCCAAGTGCAAGTGTTATATACTTAGAATTTTGAAACACGAGTATACTAGAATTTACTTAGAATTTTGAAACACAAAATAGTATTGTTGGGGGGATATAACTTTATTTGCCCTAAAAATCTGGTTTAAGAAGCGAGTTCTGCCGAACTCTAGCTGAAATGTCTGAATCCGGCGTTCTGAAACATACACAGTCATAGTCGTAGAGAAATAACTATTTTCAATGGCTCTAGAAAGTTTCTAGCCGGGCTTTTTTAATGCTATTCGGTTCTTGGGATTTTTTTTTTCAATCCATTACAAATCCTGCTTTGTTTTTGAATGATTTTCGCAGTACAAATATATAAAATGTAAAGTCTTGGATGTAGTAATTGGGAACACGCGTATTTAGATCTATTTACAATAAAAATATTCAAATTTACTTGTCAGACATGAGCCATAATACTCGATAAAGAAAATTATACGTATATAGGAGATATATGCGTGTAGGAGATATATGCGTAGTAGTAGTAGTACAGAACTTGATTTTGCACGAATTTTAAGATGAATTCTAAACAAATTAAAGATATATCCGTCAAATATAGTTAAATGAATAACCAGTTGATGTTCACGCCATCACGGTTACAGCCGGGGCAGCTGGTTATGCGAATTGTATTTACAAATATTATTCTAGTGCCGATTATGCTATTACATTAGCTAGCTGTTTCAGTGCGTCAGTTACTTTATATAGACAAATATTGCACAGTTCACATGCAGGTGGGAAACAAAAAGTGAATTTGCATACACAAATTTAAGAATATAATAATCAATTTTTATCCCACAATAGGCACAAACGACAGTCGACAACGTTGAAATGCCATACTGCAATAATGTATTTAATAAAGTATTAACAAACCTCATTACTGAATACTGTTTCAAAACACGGCATTTGAAGTTGTCGCCTCGATATTTTCGAATCCAAAGGCAAAGACGATATTACAGTCCTTCAGATTGATTCATCTTTCTAAAGAGAGTTTACTAACTACTTGAGTCTTTGACGAAGTCGTCTGCAAGGATGTAAAAATCCGATCGAAGGACAATTGTTTGATATGGAAATGAGGTGGCCGCATGAATACTCATTTTAACATGTGGTAAAAACATCCATTAATAAATAGTAAACATATCGTGTTTCGTTTTGAATTTGAGAATGTCCATGAATTATTGATTAATAAGTGTCTTTTTATACATCTTATCATTATGCAAATTTGGTCTGTGCCAGTGTATAGGTAGTGCTAACAAAAACAAAGCTGCAGATGGATACAACTACCTGAACAAGGAGAACTTCGACGCTTCGAGCAAAGGCCCTTCGTCGTGTAGTTGCTACTAACTCGATAGCAAACTTCCCGACGAAGGGCCTTAATGGACCATTTGCATTATAGACTAAATTTTGATTTATAGACTAAATTTTGATCACCTGCAGCTTGAAAGAGCATCACAAAATTAATAATATTCCAAAGTTTCGTTGCCAAATGTTGTAAAATGCGGATAATATAGCCTTGCGAAATTTGCAATTTTCAGTCTTTTGTATTACAAACGGGAAATTGATGCCCCAACACCCGATTGGGCTGTCAATTTCCCATTTGTAATACAAAATGACTGAAAAACGGCAAACTTCGCATGGCTATATTATCCGCATTTTACAACATTTCGCAACGAAACTTTGGAATATTACTAATTTTGTGATGCTCTTTCAAGCTGTGATGAAATTTTTGTCTAGATCAAAATTTAGTCTATAATGCAAATGGTCAATTTGGCTTTGCTCGAAACGCCGAAATTCTCTTTGCTAGCAGCTACTAACTTCTCGACCGAAGTTCTCCTTGTTAGCTACTGAGTTGTATTCGGTTATTCTAATGTGTTTCACAGTCATCTCCCTTTCGACAGGCCATGAGCTAGGCAATGACGCTTTTTAAATCGGGTACTACGTGGAATGAAAGCAAACGTCCCAAATTGAATAGAAAGAAATAAGTAATCACAAGATAGGAAAGTTGTAGCGTACGGTGTGGACCCCAGCAGAAACGTGTTTCTGATGGAGTCCACACCGTAGTCTAGGAATGTTGCGGATGGACAGGGATACAGAGAACTTTGACGTTTCAAGCGAAGGCCTTCAAATCTACGACGCGGACGTGAAGAAAAACTGTAACTATTCGCACAGTTTCACTACACGCGGATAGAAATTATGGCCTCCAGTTGGTAAACAAAGTCCGAGACACAAGTGAAGCAAAATAAAACTGGATTCTAAACACATTAGCAACGGTTTTTATGTCACGTCCGCGTCGTAGATTTGGTGCATCTTAAGGCCTTCGCTTGAAACGTCGAAGTTCTCTGTATCCCTGTCCATCCGCAACATTCCTAGACTACGGTGTGGACTCCATCAGAAACACGTTTCTGCTGGGGTCCACACCGTACGCTACAACTTTCCTATCTTGTGATTACTTATTTCTTTCTATTCAATTTGGGACGTTTGCTTTCTTTCCACGTAGTACCCGATTTAAAAAGCGTCATTGCCTAGCTCATGGCCTATCGAAAGGGAGATGACTGTGAAACTCATTAGAATAACAATACAACTCATTATCTATGTTAGTCAACGTCACAACGTACATGTATTCATAAATATGGTCCTTCACCGTCACGTGTGTATTGTATATATATATTATATAAACATATATATATTATATAAACATATATATATATTATATAAACATAAGTGTTATATGGATTTTTTGGCCACTGAGAAAAATCGTATTTAAACACACGTAAAAAATACGATATTTTTACGTGTGAAAATATCATATGTTGTAAAACGCATTGCCACGGACGTTTTATTGTTTTTCACTGAATTTTGTTTATATAATAAACAGAAAAATACATGGGTGCTTGGAAATACCAGATTTATTTCTCGTGTTGAACATGATATCTCACTCGTTCGCTGCGCTCACTCGTGAGATATCATGTTCAACACTCGAAATAAAGCTGCTATTTCCACGCACCCATGGCAGCCATTGACGTCCAATAGCTCTGAAGGTCGTAAACAGTTTTTATACCATTTCCCCAGCTAATTCCAGTTTTTTCTAATGGACCGTATATCACTAATCAAGTTTTCAGTTCATAAAATCACAATATTATTCTTTAAATCGAAGTCAAAATACGAAATTTCAACACACTCCTTGCCAAGATGGCGGAAATTGAAGGAGCTGTTGAACGTCAGTTCCAGTCCCTTTCTATTGTTTTTGTATGCGCGGTTAACACGAAACTGGCTTCACTTTGAGCAACCAAGTTCCTACTCCAGATATATATGGAGCTCACTGCTTTCCTTATACAATTACTTTATGGTTTCCGTGTTTGGATGGCCTGATCCAAACACGCGGGAATGTTGCGAGAGTTAAGAAAAGCGCGCGCTCGAGCAACATTCCCAAGTGTTTGGATCAGGCCATCCAAACACGGAAACCATAAAGTAATTGCTTTATAAAATAACATCATCACGATAGTCTTCCGTGTTTGAATGGCCTCATCCAAACACTGGTTTCGACCAATCAGAGCACGCGTTATATACATATTATTTTATAAAAAAAGATAGGCTATGCCTAGCTATACAACGTGCAGCAGAAGTGCCCCTATTTGTTTTAATAAAACGATTATTTTTTTCAAGAAGCTAGTGCATGTGGTTGGTTCACAAATTATACATTTTGTGCCCAGATTCCCCTATATGGCAATGAACGGTTGATTACACAACGGGTAAATTTCCCGCTAAAAACGGTGAACCGTTGATGTATTCGTGGAATCAGACCTATAAAAACACACACGTACGAGTCTGCGGCAATTAACTTAATTCAACGCTATCTATATATAATACTTGCAAATTACACTTTTGCCGCATTAAATTCCCGATCAAAAACAAAAAAATCCAAATCAGCGCATAATCAAAAATTGCACGAATTTTTACAATCCCAACAGATCTGGTTTTTTAAGTAAATGAATGCAAAGCCATGCAGTCGACATGCACTCACGCCCACCCCAATGTTTCGGTAGGTAAACAAAGGACATTAGTTATTTACCACAAGAATATATCGGTAATCGTTCCATGTTTCGTGCACCAATATAGTAAACATTATGTAATGGATATTATAGTGTACTGAAAAGTTAACTGGATACCTCCATACACATATATACACACCCTAACCTTAAACCTAACCCTAACCCCTAACCTAACCCTAACCTAACCCCTATAATACTTAACCCTAACCTATATTGGTGCGCGAAACATGGAACGATAACCAATATATCCACCTTGTTGGGGGTATGACGTCGCCCCTCGAGTACATAAGAAGCCAAATTGCGACTTCAGATAACCCCTGATGATGACACTGTGGGCTGAAGTGTTGTGCACCCTTACGTACGTACGTCACTTTCGCTATGGAAGCTCGTTTTCGTGTATGCGAGTTAAAGCCCATCTCAACCATAAAAACGAGGCTGTAGAGCTAAGGTCACGTGTTTTCACGAAGGGTGAATTCGATTGCATGCATGGGCTTTGCTTCCAGTAGCGAGTGAAAACATGATTGATATTAGACCTGGTTGCCTTCAACTCACAAACCTTTTAAACAAGCCGGAATCGGGGTATCTTAACATCTTTAATATCTGGCTTATACGGTCGAACGTTTTGCCAAATAAATAAAGAAGACCTTTATTTGATATTGAAATGGGAAATATCCTGTTTCGACCCAATCCCTTCGCTAACCCTATTTGTGCGCGAAACACGAGGATGTAACATTGAACGGTTCCTCATCGTGCACAAATCCTTTGTCTCAACTGCATTAAATATTATTCAACGAGGTTGCATGTTTCATCTCAGCTACCGCTATTGTACGATTACTTCTAGAGGGGCGGATAGGTGGCAAATTTTAGGTGAAATTGTGCACTCGAGGTAAAAAAGCATGGTATTTGGCAAAATGATATAGTTCTCGATGTGATTATTAATCATAGATATGGTGCCATCTGGAAAATCAATGTTGATGCCTAAACAATTAGTACTTTTATAGGCAAATTACAACTATCTCCAGAAAGTGAAATTTAAAGTTCACTTATAGCAAACATCTACATGCAACATTGAAAGTTTGCAAAAAACTATATAAAAGACATTAATTAAGTGGTTATGAAATTTTCAAGCCCCTTTCGAGTTATTACTGCTCGAATTAAAACGTGAAAAATATTACCGAAGTCAGTAGAGTGTCTTTTCCGGAAGTTGAAAAGACTGTCAGAAGCCAGTGGAAACGTTCATGTTTTATGACGTCGCGGCGAGGAAATGCAGCGTGGAACTTGTATGTTATTTTACTTATACTAAACTTTATTTAGTTTGACAAATTGCCAATGGCTCGCCAAGCGCAAAGGGAGAACGGAGAACCTCTGTTCGTGGGAAGGCACTGGGAGAAGAAATGCAAACTAAATAAAGTTACTAATAAGTATAACATACAAGTTCCACGCTGCATTCCTTCACCGTGACGTCATAAAACATGAACGTTTCTATCGACTTCTGACTGTCTTTTCAACTTCAGGAAAAGACACTCTACTGATTTCAGTAATGTCTCAAAATCGCCAGAAATACTGTTTTGAGTTCCGTGTGGTTTAAATGTGCTAAAAACAGTATTTCGTGGGAAGGAAAACAAGCAAACCACTTAAATGTCTTGATATATCGTTTTTTGAAATACTGTATATTATAGGTGAACCTGAAATTTTCTTTTGGAGATAGTACTTTAATGGGGAAATTGTAAGAAAATTTTTAAGCGTGAACATTAATTTTTCAGATGGCACTATATCTAAGATTATTAAGCCCACTGCATGAGAACCAACGCGTTTTGCCATGGTCATGCCTTTTACCTCAAAAGTGCACAATTTTTACACAATTCATTGTACAAAAATTCAATGAGCTCAATCACCGTAACCGTGCACAAGTTAACATAAACTCAGACAAAAACATAATACAGTGACTTCTGCTAGTTTCCGGGCCAACATATCTTGATAGCCTGTGGTTAAAAACGGTAAAACGTTAAAATGTACGACGTTTTGAGCAGTAGCCACAACACAAAGTTTTATTTATAGTCTTTTCTAATACTAAGCCGTACTACTGTATATATAAACAAGTTAATTCCATGTATATTTATTTTTATTCTTCAGTTCAACATATATGGAATATACATACATCAAATTGTATTAAAAATTAGAAAGTGATTTACATAACTTTTAAATCGTAGTAAATAAATAAATTACATTGTGTCAACTTATTTTCAATATTGTTGAGGTTTTTTCACTTGGCAAAAAGGAATGTGGAACAGGAAAGCTTATTTTATATTAAGACGTTTTAATCTCCAGAAACTCCAATAGAACCATGAAATGCTTTCCAAATATACAGAATACAAAAATCAAACAAAAGTCGCTTCAACATTTTCATATTTTCATGCATCAGCCAGGTCGTTCAAACCACTTTTTATGAAAAAACTTGAATCTAAACACGTTAGTTGTATTTGCACGTAGTTTTTTGCCAAGTGAATGATCTTATGCCTCGACTTGTCAACGAAAAAGCAAGTATGGAGGCAGCTGGCCAAACGTATACAATCAAAGGCTATAGGCTCCAGTCTGGCTCCTAATAACTACAAGACGAAACTTATAAAGGAACTACATGGCGCGCATATTAATATGCTTGAAATTATATTTTACACGATTAACTTTGATCTTGCAACCCATTGCGTCACGGCGTTCTTTTTGAAGCAAATTCGTTAATGTAATGTTTTATGCTAACAAAATTAAATTTTAGAATCTTAAAAAACATCATTGTGGGTGAATAGGTTGCAAACAAAAAAATTTGCGAACATTATAGCCCTGTGTATTCTGGAAGCTACAGTGACCGTTTATACCTTGAATAGAAATCCACGATTTTTAGGGAAATCATACAAGCTTTACAAACGTCAAACGTTCTTAAATATTTTTGAAGTGTGATTCTCTGGGACCGGTTGTATGACGATCAGATAGGGCTATCCGGCGAATCGTAATTTTAATTATTTTATCAACTTCTCCAAAATGGCTCATTGACTATAGCATGTGTACACATTAAACCTTACTAATTATTCCTTTAGGTTTTTTTTGTGGGATCAATATAAGTGTATTTTCACAGCTTACAAGGGTTGAAACAATCACTGTCCAGTAGGTAACGCTACCCGGCCATCGTATAACTACGATGATTTGACCCATTTGTTTTTTTCCCTAATCTCCACTAGATTCTTTGAAAAAATGCTGTAGAAATCTAGATTTAACCTCACTTTTTTTTATGAAAATCTGAAATGTTGTTCCAATCTTTAAAGATTTACACACTATTTTGAAAGGTATATAGTGTTGAATTATATGCAAGTATTTTTAAATTTTGCGTGTTAATATGGCTTTGTTTCATGCACGATTTTGGTCATTGACATTGCATGGTTGGATATTTAATTTAGCGTTAAGCAGCCTCATGTATCATCCTCTTGTTTTCTTCCAATTATAAAAAAACTTCAGCACAGAACGGCAACGCTTACAGTGTTTTGGGCTCAAACGCAAAACCTCAAACTGCTTATAATAGGTTTGCATGCATGGTAACCAATGTTAATTCTAATTTTGATTTCTCATGTAGGCATCTGTGCAAAAACAGTTGAGCCAGTATTTTAGGAATCAGCGACGCTATTCCAAACCAAAGAAATCAATGGTACCTGCAACAGGGGGAACCAAGCTGGTCTGCAGCTATAAGATTGCTAAGCTGGAGAAGAAAAAGATGGATGACAATGCAACAGAGAAAAGAAATTTGGAGCTAATTAAGAATTGTAAAGTTGGCTTCGTCTCTGGAAAAACGTTTTTTTTCTTTGGTTGAACACACATTCCTAGCGAGGAGAACGTTTATCGAAGGACAAGCCAAGTCGTGCATTGAAATTCTTGACATGTGTCCATATCTTAGCAAAGCGGAAAATGTAATGTATTCATTTAACAGCCCATCCAAAACATTAGAATTCGATGAAGCCTGCAAAAAGTGTATTAAACGTTTTCAATTTATGGGCATATTTTTTATTTGAAAATGGTGTATGCGCGGGTTTGTATTGCTAACACGATATTCCCATGCAGCCATTCCATGCAGGGCCTCTCAGCGACGTCTGTCGTCCGGCTTTCGTACAACTAGCCACTGATATATATTTCCGCGCGGTTTTTTTTCGATTTTTATTGGTGGAGCGCGATGGGGTATACAAATAATATTAATCTGCTCGTTGGACTCCAGTCAGTCGAGGCATCAAACAACAGTATTTGACCGATTTGTTTTTTCCCTAATCTAAATTCTTTGAAAAAATGCTGTAGAAATCAAGATTTAAATCACAATTTTTTGTGAAAATCTGAAATGTTGTTCCAATCTTTAAAGATTTACACACTATTTTGAAAGGTATATATACAGGGTGTCTCAAAAAAACCCAAAATCATTGAAATAACGTATTGTTCGAATTTCAATGCCGTAACACAAAGGATTTTGACACGGTGATTAATTTGTTTTAAAAAATTAAAATATCTTTGTAAAGTGAACGTTTGTTTGCTCATGGGAATTTAAAAATGCTTCGTAAATTGTAAAAGAAATTACGGATTAACAAAAATGAGAACATTACAAATTATTCCTGTCATCACTTCGAGAGAAATGGTTCAACTAACGCCCGAACAAAGAGTTTTTGTCGTGTTAAATTATACGAGAACACAAAGTACGACACAAGTGCGAAACGCTTTTCGAGAAAGGTTCCCAAATCGCAATCCACCTGCGGCAAGCACAATTTTGGAAAACGTAAGGAAATACGAAAACTCCGGAACCAGTCTAAACCTCAATAAAGGCAATTCCGGCAGAAGAAGAACTACTCGAACTGCAGAAAACATTGACGCTGTTAGGGATATACTGCAGGAAAACCCTCACGTGAGTGCTCGTCGCAACCCTATTCCAATTTCTCGTGCAAGCTTTAACCGCATAACAAGGCAGGACATAAAATGGCACCCATATCGAATGCATGTACGACACGAATTGTTGCCAGCCGACTTTGCCCGTCGATTACGCTTTTCCGTTTGGCTTAACGAACGCTGCCGCCGAGAAAATTTCTTGGATAGTTTCCTTATCGGAGACGAAGCATCATTTGTAATGAATGGCGAAGTCAACACCCAAAACGTACGACAGTATGCGCCTAAAGGACACCCGCCTGCGTTTAATTTTGAAAGGAGCCATTCTCGTGAGCATCTGACGGTCTGTCTGGGCAGCGCTTTGTGGTAACGGAATGATTTTTGGGCCTTACTTTTCCGAACAGAATGTAAACGGAATCGCCTATCTCCGAATGTTCAATGAATTTGTCTTCCCGCAACTAGCTGAACGTTTTAATAATCAGCATTGGGAGGAAATGTTTCGGGGTCTATGGTGGGCTCAAGACGGCGCGCCTGCACATCGCCTGATCGCAGTCAGAGATCGGCTGAATGCTGTGTTTGGGAACAACCGTGTCATTGGGCTGGGTCATAATGTTGAATGGCCACCTAGGTCACCGGACTTGACACCATGCGACTTCTTTTTGTGGGGGTATATTAAAGATAAGGTATTCTCAAGTCCACCGCGCGATATTGACGAGTTGCGCCAAAAAATCATCCGAGAATTTAACGCTTTGCGAGAGCAGCCTGCCTTCGTTACACGGGCAGTTCGAGATATGCACAGGCGAACAATGCTTTGTGTTGCAAGAGAAGGGGGACACGTCGAAGGTCACGGCGCTTGATGATTTTGTAAATAATTGTTAATGTGTAAATAATTGTGCTTGGAAAAACTGTAAATACTATCTAAACTGTAAATAATATAAATTTGTTTGCTTATAAGTACATATT